CGGGCCCCGGAGAGAAGGGCTGGTTTTGGGGATGATGTGCCGGCCCGCTATGGAGGGGGGGGGCCGGCCGGGGCTGGAAGAGGGAGCAGCCGGCAAGGTGGCCCCCAGGCCGGCCAAAGGATGTATAAGCAGTCGATGGCTCAGAGGGCCAGGACTATGGCTCTCTACAACCCCATCCCTGTCAAACAGAACTGCTTCACAGTCAACAGATCCCTCTTCATCTTCAGTGAAGATAATGTTATACGGAAATACGCCAAGAGAATAACAGAATGGCCATATCCTTTCAGGGAGGGTGCGTGGGCATGATGGGGAAGGTGGGGAGCGGGCAAGGGAGACTGGGGGGAAGAGAACCCTCTAGTCGGCTGAGTGTCTGGTGCTAATGTAGACGTGCATGTGTGATCCAGCGCGTGTAATGGGTGTGTGTGACATGGATCCCTGTGTCTGACACAATGTACGGCCGTGTAGCTGGGTATCATAGGAAACTGCTGCTGTGGGAACGGCGGAGTGTGCTTTTGGCTATGCCAGGGGTGTGTGAGAGACAAACGTGCATTTTCATGTGTGTTTAGGTGTGAGATATACAGCTGCACAGATTTAGATTTCTTACAATTTAAGCCAAATGCAAAGAGTTCTGTGAGATTCGTGCGAATGAATCCTGATTCTCATTTCCATCTTAGAGCCTTTCAACTCTTCTTTCTCACTCTGAATAGAAGAAGGAATGTGGGATAAAAATGGTGACACCTTAGCATTAAAGCTGTACTGGTAGTAAGGGCATTGATAGCCAAGGTACTGTGCGAACCCTATTAATACTATCATCGCAGCTAGGTTCTTAGTACATCTCCTTCTGAATCCGTAAGAATCAACATGCATCTTGTCACTTTTATGTGCGTAGACTAAGCTTAGGCTGTACTGAAAAAAAAAAAAGATAGAAAAGCTTTGTGGCAGAGGGAGGCAGTAAGTGGAGAGAAGGCTCATCTGATGTATTGGGAAAGGGGCAGATGATTTCTGTCTCAGAACCAGCTCCCAGGCCAAGTAAGCTGCAGAGACCTTCCTCAGAAGGGGGCTTTGCTGGTAATGATGCACGCAGTGGGGTTGTAAGCCATGAGAAAAGGGAAGCAGACTGTTTGAGGTTACCAGGGAGTAGATGTAGTGTGTGTGCATGTGTGTGTGTACAGGAGTGGATGATACTGGTGGTCTCAAGGGAGCTGGTTGTTTTCTTCTCATTTGATATCACACACCTATTAATCTTCAGCTAACAGCAGCAAGGCCTCCTCCCAGCTTCCTAGCAACACTTTCAACTGCCACAGCAGCCAGCTCCCCTTCAGGCTTCCCCAGTTTTCACTTTCTGAAGGGCTAACAGGAAAAACAAAAAATACACCAGTGGAGTGAATGCACTTGCCTTGCCCCTGAACACACACGCACGTTGATTTTTCTGTCCATATTATAAATAATTACAGGAATTGCTGTACTTCCTCATCCATTTCTCCCTCCCTGCGTTCGAGTCTGAATAAACAAGCTCCGAAGCTCCGGTGGCAGTCAGAGCATCGCCTTTCCCGCAAGGCGAGACGCAGCCTGGACCTCTCCCATCTCTCAGGCGACTCCCCTGCGCCTGTATTTGAGTTCACTGAAACTACTACTATACTTCGTCTTAAGTATGCAGTTATGTGCTTGACAGGAGTGAGGATCTTGTTACTAGTATCTCTTACCACTAGGGCAAGAAAAGGAGCTCTCCGTGGTGCTGGAGGGAGCTCGCCGCCGCACTGGTCCCCCCCACCCCACGATGCCGCCCGCAGCATGGCTCTGCCCTGGGAGCGCAAGGGCTCGGCACGGCTCAGGGCTAGAGACAACGGCGAAAGGGAAGGGGGTTTGTTGTGTCGGGTTCGCCGCCTTTCCAGTGAGAGCGCTTCCCTCGTACGCCCCGACAAGGCGCTGACGGTTTTGTGCTCGCTGGGAGTGGGCATTGCAATCTAGCGGTAATTTGTGTTTTGGACCTGCGTAGACACTCTAAATTGAACTTTTCTAGCCCATCGCTTATTTACACTGGGCACTCAAGTTAAATGGCTGGCAATTTTGAAGAACAATTCAGCAGATTGCATTCAGCTGTAGAATCTCTTTTGGGCCCTTTTAGCTTCTCAATCTTGTTTTAAAATAATAATTATTAATAGGTTTTTGTTTCCTTTGAACCTTTTATTTTCTTGCTCTCAAATTCCTTGAGCAGCTCCGATTCTGTGCAAGTCACCAACTCTCTCCAAGAAGAGAGGCAATTTCCTACTTTTCTTCCAAAGACACACCAGAAAGAACTAAGGAAGTCAAGGAGACTAAACGTCTTCAAAAAAGATGAGAGATCTTTGAATGCTCAGTTAATGTAACTGTTTCAGTAGAAATGGGATTTGGATGAGGTTCACCTTGTGCTGTCTCGTGTCTTCTTTAACTTCTGGTCCCCACTCCATTTGAATACATGATTTTAGCTACAATCATAGCCAATTGCATTGTGCTGGCTTTGGAACAACATTTGCCGGATGGAGACAAGACACCTATGTCAGAGAGATTGGTGAGTTGTATTCATCTATTTACATTTTTTGTTTCTAGTCTAAGACAAAAGCACTCAGCCACCCAGTGTTGCCAGGGATCGTATCTGTTTGGAAGATCCACATGTAAACAAAGGGCCATTGACCTGACAATCAGGAAAAATAAGTCAGTGACAACAAGTAAAACTCTAACCTCCTGATCCCATCTTCACAAGAATGCTTCATCACTCTAGCCAGCCCTGCCCAATTGCAGGAGGAGAGATGGACCTTACATTATGATCAGAAGAACAGCAAACCCAAGTTGTCTATAAACCAAGACAGGAAGGGACTGCCAAATGCTCGGAATTATCTGTAGAATCAAATGAACTTCTGTGATATTTTCCCAGGAAGCGGCAGAACAGAGTAACCTTTTAGGATCGTATGTCTTTCAGCTAGCTTCCTGCTACACCATATATCAAGGACCCTACAAAGCAAACTTTGGGTTTGGATGATTACACTTCCCTTCCAAAAAAAGAAACCAACTTACAGAGGAAAATAATTTACCTGCTGACTTTATGGTAATGAGGCCAATTACTTCTTTCAAAAGAAAATATAAGAATAGCTTCAAAACCACTCTTCCATTTCTCATCACTGTGGGAAAAATGGGTAATATTTGGTTTGATATTTCTCCTGCTGTTAATGATCTGGAATATCTTTCATGCCTAAATGCATTAATCCTGGTGCATGTTCAAAGGATGAATAAGTATGGATCCATATGTGTTTTGCATGTAGATATTAAATTATGCAAACAAAGATAATATTAGGCTTGCTGCCAAAAGTGAGAGCCTCTGAATGCTGGTTGCTACGGTTTCTGAGGTTGGTCCACATCAGTGGGCAACTCTCACAATCTCATTCTTCAGAAACAGGAAAAAGTGTATAAGTGACAGATCAAGAAAGAGCTTCAGGGTCAGCCAGTAGACACTGTTTGCAAATGTATCCACTGATGCTGGCTGCCCACTCACACTGTGTTTGCTTAGTTTCTTTCTGTTTGAATTATTTCTACTTAAGAAGAGATGAAAAAAAAGAACATGCATGCATGTTGTTCTTTCTGCCATTAAACATGTCTTTGTGTGTTTTGGGATTGGCTAGCAAGGCAAGCCGTGGTTTGAGAGCAAAGCACAGGCTTAGACCCAGGGTAACGAGCAAGCTGGGGAAATGCCATCGTTACTAACATACGGACTAGCAAAGGGGAAAAGTAGTTTTGTGGATGTTCTGGCTTGGTAACTGTTTGACAATATGTTATTTTAAGCAGCAGTAGGTACGGTTAGCACATTGTTTCTATGTTCCTCTATATCCCAAGTTTTATAAGGGGATCCTAGAGACTTTTTATTGGTCCTTTTCCCCATAGTATTAATTAATTCCATTTTACAGCACCCACTGCTGCACTCACACCTTTAGTTCCTGCCCATATCATTCCTAAGTGGGGCACTGGCATTAGCACCGAATGTTGTAAGGTAAATGAATAAGTTAAATGCACACTCTCTACTTCATTGGCTCTTCTGTGGTGATGGAGGAAGAATTAACCCCTGATTTTTTGTCCTAAACACCATTGTGCAGTGTAGTCTTTGATCCAGATATTCTGGAGCCATTTTTACTACAACGCTTTGGTAACTCTGAAGTAGAAAGGGGTTTATCATAGAATAACACTAAGAACCTTTACAAGTCATGAAATATTTTCTGTTTTCAACATACGCTGGAAAGATTAGGCATTGCGAATAAGAAAAACTGTCTTCTAGCTTTCAAAGCGAAACCTCCTTAGAATGCCCCTGCTGCTTCTGCAAACTGTAAGTTGTTTCATGGCAAATGTTACGAATCCATGCTAAACCAGAGTGGGTGAACATTCACATACATTTACGGGTTTGTTGAGCCCAATTATAAGTCCACATGGAACAGCAGGTTCTTTATTACTGTCTTTGGCTGGAATGTAATTGGCCTTTTTTGGTTAATGATTTATGGATATACCTTTCCTTCTGCTGCATTCATTAAAACCTCCAAATTGGAGTGAGGGCTCATCAGTGGAGAATTAATCAGATTTTTAAGGATATGAGCTGCACATCACAAGCCTTTTATGTCTGGCCGATGTCGGCAGAGTTGTTGAAGGAAAACCAAAGTTGCCTGGATGATTTGTGCCACAAAGACAAAAATCTTAAGATTGTCTGTTTGCTAAACCTGAGAAAAAGAGTGAGGAGTCCTTATGAACATTTTCATGATTTTTCTCTTCTGATCAAAATTTTCCTCTAGGTATCTCCCCAGAGACCCAAAATATGAACCTGCAGTGCAGTCTCATTTGGCTGTTTTCTGCGCCCGAAGTGATGTCTCAGTATATGTGACATTTCAAGAACTGAAATGGCTGTGTTATAAGTAATCTTTCTCTGTCCATTTTCTGCATGTAGATTGTAGCATAGAAAAGCATTACTTGGCTCTGGGATGGAAACTGTGGTCAAAACCAGGGCTCTGAAAAAACCACCAATCTGATGGTCAAAGCATTTACTGGTGAAGTGGAGCATCGGCTTCAAGTCCTTGCTCTTCAGACAAGAGAATCAAGGTCATTCTTCCACTAGCAGGAGAATTACCTACCCCCTATGACCTGCCTGCTCTGAGCTGGGGGTCTTGCACGCTTTGGCTGCTGGAGATGTTTACTTTACATCAGTAATTATCCCCTGGAACAGAGATGCTACAATCTTCCTCCTGTCCATCTCAGACGAGTGCCTTAGCCAATAGGTTGTAGCATCAGTGTCTCTCTGCCCCAATATATATTGCATTGTTTGTACACACTGGCGTGATGCCAACTGAAAAGATGCTGAGGGAGTTGTACTGAGTGGCCCAGAGCCTGGTGGTGAGAGCTCCAATGTGGGAATGTGAGCTTCACATCTGAGCCCTGAATGGCCTTGCAGGTGGATGCCTTGCTTGTGCTGCTCTTGGCTGTCAGGGTGAGGCATGCTCATTCTCTCCCTATCTCCTTCCTAATTTCTCAGTTTTTCGTGAGAAGATTCAGTAGACCATAGACTTGTCCCAGCCTGACAGAAACGATATCATAACTTGCAGGACAGAAAATCTATTTCCTGCCCTGCTCTGGAGCACACCCTGATTGAAGACACCAGCGGGTCTGTAGGATGATCTTCTGCATGTCACTGTAAGGCTCTGAGTGTTCGACTCCCCTGGGTGGTTTTGATGTGAGGGCAGAATACAACTGTTTTCTCAGATATTCAGCATGACAGCTCTTGCACTTTATTAATGGATTTAATTCTTCATCCTATCCACAGGCACTTTGTGCAGTCATATATGAGCTGTTCTTATCAACCTTTGCATGAACAAAGGCTTACACACCCAAACCTATCAAGGCTGTCACATCCAAAGGCCAAGAAAAGACACCAGGACATGGACTAAGAATAGTAATGACTTTCCAGACTCAGAAGTTGTTTCTGATCTGAAACCTACTGATTAAAGATGTGTTTGGCCCAGTCTCAACTTTGCCGTGTCCACAGCAAACAACCTGCTGGCACAGCCCTACCTGCTGCCCAAATTGTCCACATCCCTTCCAAGCACGCGCACTGATACTCATTATCACCTGCTTTCCTACTCTTGAACCCAAGCAGTGACACAGTCTCCTGTCCGAAGGGGCTGCTGGATGCCCTGGCAGCAGGATTTCTGACCTGACAGCAGTGCCATTGCAGTGCTGCACAGGACATGTCACCCATGTCCTTGCCCTCCAGCTCCTTCCATCAGAGTCATGCAAATCCTTTCTTTCAGCAGCAGGCCCCACTACCTAATGGGGCTTAAATTTTATTTTTCATCCTGTTGTTGTTATTGCCCTGCTACATAGACTAAATTAGTGTAAATTTAGACAGGCTTCAGAGAAGATTCTTTTTGTATCCACCCCATATGCCCAGCTACTCACTGCCAACTCTATAGATGAGAGTTTTCCTTTGTAATAAATACCCAAGCCCATCTTTCAGCCTTCCTGCTTCCCTAGAAGCTGACAAAATCTTCTTTGACCCACTTCCTAAGATCTCTGCACAGCACTAACTTTGGGAAGAGCATATTCTCTCAAACCCTTGAGTACCTAAAGCCTGGCTCTTTAAAGCTGGGAGCTGTAATTGCAAAGCACCTGACCTAGATTAAGCAAACGACTGGTGGCAGAGTAGATATAAGTCTTCCAGGAAGTGAAGGAGTAATGAGAGGGAGTGTATGTGAGTAAAGGTATTTATTTTTTTGTGTGTGTTAGAAGAGCTATTTTTAAAAGCACGCTAGTAGTTGTGGGATGGAAATATAGGAAGGGGTAGGAGGCCTTTGTTTATAAAGATCTTGGGTACTTGTTGAATTAAAAGGTGTTGTGGTGATGAAGAGCAGGCAGAGGAGCAGTAAGGTAGCTTATCCTCAGACCATGTATGATGATTTATTTTCTTGTTTTCTGTATTGGGTTGGAGTCCTGGATGCCTCTAGCTCTTGCTGTGGAGAAACTGTTGGAAGAGGACTCTTATCGTAGGATTTCTGTTGAAGGTCATACCAGGTGTGATGGCCTTGCCTTGTTTCTGTTTCTCTGTGAGTAAATGGCACGGAGATGGGTAGCTGGAGTTTATCAGTCTGTCAGTGATAGCTTCTGTGTCCTCTGAGCAGCGTCAGTGAGGCTCGGTAGAGGGCTTGGAGGTGCTGCTGTTTCTGGAAATGGCTCCTCGGCTGGGGAAGAAGACAGTTTTTGGTTTGTTTATTTTCCCCTTCATTTCACCCAAAGGCCTACAGCGTGACCTCAACAGTCACCTGCTCTGTTTTGCTGTCTAGCCAGCTGGTACATGTGTGTGTCTGATCTGCAGGTGAGTGGGCATCTTGTCTGGCTGTAGGGGATTGGGAGGTAGAGTAGCTGGGACTGTGAGGTTAGGAAAGGTGGAGGGGAGTTGAGATGACATAGGGTGAAAGATGAAGTATATGGATGAGCTGGGGTCACTGAGATGTGTAGAGATGTGGTGTGCTGCTTTGTTGGAAATAAAACTTTAATTTAGCCACTGATGGAAAAGCCTGCCCGGAAGTAGTAACTTCCAACATCTTGGAGGCATCTTCAGTAATTAGTGCTTTGTAGCTGACTTGCTAAGTTGGGTATACATCGATGTGCTCAGTGCGTAACCCTCTTTGTGAGGGGTATGATATTATATTGGTCTTCAAGGTGTGAAAAATCTGGCTTTCTGTAACTATGTACTATGCCTAAAGCATGCACCTGTGTGCCAGTGCTGGGTCAGAGTTGAGCAAGAGCTGCTATGCTTGTAAAATAAATTCTTGTATCAAAATTGCTTCTTTCTTTGTCTGGTGGTCACAAGACTCGACATTCATGCTCTTTCTGTATAAGAGAACTAAAATCTTTTTGTCATTAGTAGAATTGGAAAATGTGGAAAAATTGTTCACCAAAGCGTAGCTCAAATCTTTGGCTTTGATGGTCAGAAATGCCAAAGCCACTGGAACAAAATTTCCAATCTCTTAATTTGGGAGTTTGCTTCCTTTGGGTAGGGCTGCTTTACTTCCATTGACTTCAGCTGAAATCAGGGATGTAAGGCACATTTGAAAATTGGTTACAGATGCCAAAGCTAATTAACATGTTTTTGAAATTGATGCCCATTGCTTTCACCTCTTGCTAAGTTCCCATTTCTTGCCCTCATCTTCCTTCCAAATGTGAATGCTTCCACTGGGCATTGAGTTTGTGTTGTGTCTCTTACCAATAACGTACAATACTGAGCGATCTGGTGCCATAGACAAAAAAATGGTTTAGTAAAACTGTGAAGGCTAAGCTGGATTTTTCTCTCTAATGAGCTGGGACATGAAGCTGTGATCCCATGGTATGCTTTAGTCTGCACCATGGGCCTAAGACTCCAACTTTCCTGCTGCTGTTAATGGAAGGGAAGAGGGATTTCTCCCTGAATCGGACACGCAGTGAAAGGAAAATAAATGAGACTGCTAATGTGGAAACTAAGAAATCGGAGGAGAAAGAGTGAAGGAAGAACTTATGGAATAAATGATAAACAAATAACTTTGTGTTCACAAGCTTGATGTGCTGACTGTTACTCCCAAGACATGCTCTTGTTTCAGTTTCCTGGATGAACTGTAAACCATGTTTTCTTCCATGTCAATAACTACAAAAAAATGTGATCTCAAGTTGAAGAACACCCTTAGAGCAAAATTTCACTATTAAGATTCCCTCCAGAATACTGAGAAAAGGTGGAAAGTGTGGGGTGAAACAATCAAAATAAAGGCAGATAGAATTTCCAATCTGAAAAAACCAAATCTACCTTCAGAGAAAGATTAATGAAATTCTTCTCTGTGCTTATTTCCAGTAAATTTAAACCTTTGGGTTTCAACTCTTTTCAAAGAGTTGAAAAGGGCACGAAGTTGGTGCACGTATTTGTTTATATGACTCTAATCATCAGTGCAGAAGCATAGGCATCTCCTTGACACCTGTAATTTTTTTTTTTCTTTTTCAGGATGACACTGAGCCATACTTTATTGGAATATTTTGTTTTGAAGCTGGTATAAAAATCATCGCTCTGGGGTTTGTTTTTCATAAAGGCTCTTATCTCCGAAATGGTTGGAACGTGATGGATTTTGTGGTGGTCCTCACAGGGTAAGTGACCCCCCTCTTGCCCTAAGTTTAAGGGGCACTCTTGCTTTGATTTGTGTTGTTTTTTTAACTGTGGTTTGGTGTGTGAGTGATTTTAGTGAAATAGTACTATAAAAATGCTTTGCTGACCATACTGTCTTTAAATAATGGCTATTGTGCTGAATGAGTCACTTTCAAAGCACTGTTGGAACCAGCTAAAAAGAGACTTCAAAGATATTTATTTGCATATATGCTGGCATGTATCTTATCCGGGTGCTTACTGACATTTGTCAGACTTTGCAGGTTCTAATTGCTACTAGGTACTTGAACCTTATTTAAATCAATCTATCTTCTGACATTAGAGGATGACTTTAAAAGTCAACATGGAGTGAGTTAGTAAATTAAAAGCATCCCATTTTCAAGCTATTACAACTGTGTAATCAGTAAAGTTTCTGCAGGGATGAATTTGGTCTGCTAGAAAATAACTTTTCTAAAAATAATTCAAAGAGGGTGCATGTCCTGTAAAGGATGGAGCGGACAATGTTATGTGTGCTTTTTGTACCATGGTTTGAAATGATATCAGTCACTTCTTTCTTAGAAATGCTTACAATATTTTTGTTGTATATTGCAACAATTTCTATACCTATTTATATAAATGTAGCCTAACACTACTGGATAATGAAAACACGAACATTGAATAACACTTCTGGTCTACGTATTGTGATTTAAAGCTCCAAAGGTCTGTGTGAGGTCCTGATCTTGCAGCCTTCATCTTGGAAGGATTTAAGTTAGTTTTTCCTCCAGAAGGCTGCGGCCCGGCTCTTGTTATTAATATGCACTCATTTCACACACCTTCGCTGCCATTGTGTGTGATGTACATACATATTCTTTGGTCTGGTTAGTGGAGTAGAGTAGGATGCTGTTAGGAAACTGCTGGCTTACATATACAAATGTATTCATTAGATACATTATCACTGTAATTCTATTTGCATTCAGTGTACCATGTGATATAGCAATTGAGAGGCCAAAGAGATTTCTTTACGTACTGAGAGGAAGAAAATAAATATGCAGGGCTTGATTCTCCTGCTGCTGGGGCTGGGTATTTAATCAATAGAAACTTCAGTGGAGCCACAAGGAGAATCAGATTTCCATAGTCGGAAGCACAGGGGGTACCAGGATGAAAAGAGAATTAGCACAGATGCTACAATTATTTGCACTGATGGTATGTTCTGATTCCTAGTTAGCTCTATGCCCTTTTGTGTGTTAAAAAAAAAAGGAAATCAGGGCCCTGATTCTGGGAAGGACTTTGGCATGTGGTTCAATTTATCCTTCAGCAAAGCTTTCAAGTACATGTTTGAATTCAGCTGATGTCAGCGGTTCTATACTTAAGGTTATACGTAAAAGCTTTCCTGAATTACAGCCATATTGCTATTTGTTTAGGCATGTTTTAGGTTTGTTTTTTTCATAAACACAGGCCAAGAACCAAAATAGATTTTTTTTTTAACTGCCTTGCTGTGACCGAGACGTTCAAAGTTTTGCTACAGCATCTGAAACATTGTGTGTGAGTGCCATGCTTGTGGAATCACAACAGAGTGTGCGATGCTCTAGGTGTGACACCGGCATCTTACTGGTGCCAGCTTTATTGTGAGCGCTGTTTGCAGCACTGTTTGATCTCTGACCATAATTGTGGAATATTGGCTTGATTAGACAGCTGTAATCAGGAACCCTGTTGCCATCTGCGAAGATGTGTATTCTTTTGAAGTACAATCCTGTTAACGTCAAAGCTGCTGGTTTCCAATAGTGATACTAGCTGGGCTGTATTGAAATTGTCTTGTACATGGACTTCCCACCAGGCAGGCAATGCAGGGAAGGCAAAGGGTAAACTAAGCGACATTAAGTCCAAGGAAATCCACAGACCTCTAATCCTGAAATTTGAGGGCTGGATTCAGCAAGGCACTTGAGCTCGTGCCCGATTTTTGGTGTTTGGGGAGACCTACTGAAAATAACAGGGTTACTGGCATGCTTGGTTAGATAAATGCTTTCCTGAATCTGGTGCTGTGTTTCCAAACCCAGTAACGAGGCGGAAGGGCCTCTAGTAGAGAAATAACGTTGAAAGATCTGCAGCTTCACACAGGGGGTTGAATTAGTGTTTTCTCTGTAGCCTGTTGTGTTTCGTTCTGATTTTCCTAGATCCTTATTATGTTCTGCGCTCACTCCTCTGTTGCCATGGGTCTGTGCTAGAAAGCAGGAGCTCCTCTTCCTTGTGTTTCCTTTACTGGCCAGAAACCCTTTCATCTGCCCATTGCCTGCCCTAGCTAGGCTAACGAGGGGAAGTCTGAGCGAGGCCTTTTACTTGGAGACAGATATCATCCTGGCACTTCTGCACTGAGACTTTAAAAGCAGGTTGCTGAGAAAGAACGTTTAATACTGATAAACCTGGCTGTTTCTCTAGGGAAGGGCTACGAGGTGATAGCACAAGTGTGACCTTAATTTTTGTTTCTGTGACAGGCGGTCTCAGATCTGTGTGTTTCAAAAGATGATCAAGCATGTTCTATAATTTATTAGAGGATAATAATAAAGGACAGTGCTAAAGTTGTACCTAATGTGTTCTTATAAATATAGATAGGTAGGACATCAGTTTCTGAAATTTCATTTTACTGTATCAAAAGCTCTCCTTTTCATATGTGCAAGATTTCAACTTGAAAATGTTCCTTCGTGTTTCCTAGGCAGTGATCAGCATTCAGTTCCTAAGCTCAGTTTCACATTGATCTTCAATATTAGAGAGGGATTTTAATTTCTCTTTTTTCTGTGTAAGCATGAAAGACCACAAAAATGCATTTCATGATACCACGTGCAGAGTCGTACACCTGTTCATCCTGTGGAGTGCATATTTTTATGAAGGTAAATGGTGAATGTCAGAAAATCTGATCTCATTTGCAGCTTTTAGCTAAAATCCATAAAAGCAAAGAGCAGCTTTGCTCTTGTTAGCTGTTTCCATAGGAAGCAGGCCAGCCAGAGTCTGGGTGTGTGTCGGAGGAGGGTGTGGGGGAAGGCTCTGCATTTACTGAACTTACCCTTACATAAATATTACAGTGATCACGCAGTAACCCTTTCCACCTCTTTTTTCCAACCCCCTTTTTTGCTACTCAATGCCTCCACAATGGGATTATTGATAAATACGTTGGGGTTTTCTTTTTGTTTGCCTGTAAGGATGCACAATTTGTTTGTCACAATCAGACAGTAGAACTTGTTAAGCAGAAAATAAATCAGCTCTGTGTTATGTGCAGCCAGGATCAATATCCTACAGAGATAAACTGGAGCCTAACAGATACTGGCCCAAAATGGCTTGGTTTGTTGTTCCAGAAAACACTCCCTCAGTTTCTTTCTACAGGAATGCTGTGGTGTCGTCTTCTCACTTACTTTCAAGGAAGCATGCTGCTTTGCTGTTAATAGAGGCCTGGGAAAATAAGAGATCGCTTCTTCTTGAAAGATTTTGTTTTCTCTGTAATTTCTTTAGTTATTTCTTGTAAACTCCTCCAGTTGTAGATGAGTATCGAGTAAAGCTGCCGTGCTGTGATGCGCCTGTTGCTATTGTGGAGAGAGATATGTATATTTTATAGCTCCTGCTCCTTTTATTTTCACATTTTTATGGGATTGCATTCACTTCAGTGATGACATCACACATTAGCAGTGCTAAATTGCACAAAAATGCAGTTTCTCTACTGGTCTGGGACTATGCGATCTTAATGCACATTTCCCAAGGGAGGAGCAAAGGGACTTTTTACTTAATTCCTGCAACCTGTCTTGAGGTGGGATCCTCAGATACCCTCAGTTGTCTTGGGAACAAAGTTCTCCCTGCATCCAGACCTCTCAGATGGCAGTGGATGGAGGGTTCGGACCTGGTCCTGTTGGAGTTCATGGGAAGATTTCTCCTGGAGCCATGGGCTTTGGGTGCAATAGTCTGAAGAATTGCTGTACTGGCTTAAGCTACAAACGTATTCTCTAGCTGGAGCTGGTGTAATAGGGTGGCTGCTAAGGGGAATAATGGAGAACAAGGCGTGGATAAAATCATTCTTACCTTCCTGATTCCAAAAATCCAAATGTCTAGGGATTTTTGAGACAAATATGGATCTGATGGCTTTTAAACTGTGTGGTCAAAGGGGCTGGTTCTCCTTGGTCGTGTTTTGGAGCCTACTTATACTTTTGGCTTCATCATATCCTGGGTAATGCGTCTCATGGTTTAATTCAACATTCATTCTAATTACATACCACAAGAAAAGGTGCTGCTTATCCCTTTTTTTTCTCACTAGTTACCTGAGATTTCCATTGGTGCCCGCTAGATTTTGTATAGTAAGATCTGGAGAATAATTATTCCTTTCTCTGCATGCTTATGGTTTTATGAATCTTCAGCATTTCCCTGGTCAGAGATTTATGCTGCCCAGTCCCCCCTGACCTGAGAGCTTTTCTGTGCTCCACTGACTCGTGCTGTTGCTCTTGGTCCTTTCCTAGTTCTGTCATATCCTCTTGGAGGCAGTGACCATGACTGTGTGCAGTGTTTGTCCAACACCAAGCGTTGCTGAAGGCTGGTATAAGCAAATGGAGCAGTTGAAAGGATCATGCTCTGTCCTTCATGACCAGAGTTAATTTTTTCAGCTGTCAATCAGCCTGGATTTAAACACTCTCGAAGAGTCCTGGTAGCTTCTTGAGCCAGTTGGATCAGCTGCCTGTATCTCTGGGTGGGACTGGCAGAGACAGTGTGTGCCAGGCCTGGAGCTGCCAAGCAATGTGCACAAAGTCTATGTGCTGTTACTGATGTCTCAGGCTGTCGGGAACAAATTACAAAAGCTAGAATTATCTTGATTGCCTGGATGACTGAGAAATGTGCTCCTCGCTCCTGGTAATGCTAATTATTTGGAAGGTAACTCATTTTGCAGCATAATAAAGACCTGTTCATCCTTGATGTTAGCTTTGCTAGTTACCAGGATCATCTTAGTATGTGGGCAGTCTGAGATGCTATTCCTGGT